TCCACTCGAAATGGAAGTAAGCTCGACAATTATGAAACAAGAGATTCCTCGAAACCCAACTTTTCTTCGTTTTGTAGTTGAGTGTTCGCAAAGCAGAATTAGGCTATTTTTACGATTTATGCCTTCTCACGAGGCGAGAAAGCGGTTTTGTAGGCGGACTTTTGACCTCGAAACGCTTTGCCAGGCCTCAGATTTCCCAAACCTCTCTAACCTCGACTGTGTATTGTGAAGCGGGTGATTCTTGTCAGATGTGTATGGCAAGAAATGTTGGGTTTCGAGGAATCTCTTGTTTCATGCTGGCGCTGTTTCCGAGGTAATCTCCTTTAATTCCGGTGCTTTCTGTACTTTCAGCTCACTCTTCCTCTCTCGCATTGAGACCAAAAACAAAAAAATGGCCCATCAACGGCGTGATTGTTAAAACATGTACGTAGGAATAGGGAGATGGTGGCCATCAAACCTTGATGGTCGAAAACAGACGTTCCTTTTTGCTGTCCTAATTACTTTGAACCATCACTGCGGGTTTCGTGCATAAACGAACACAAACAGGCACATACACATACAGAGACAGACACACTCACAGGCCTCGGAGTTGACATATGACCGTAACTAACGAAATCACTTTATACCTCATCAACGAGGCCAGCTGTAGAGTATAGATACCACTTTTTAGGGATTTGCCGGTTAGTTTTACTTTGGCTTCGACGATGATTCCTTGCTCTGATGATGTTCGTCATATGACGTACGAAAACGTAGCATGTTTTCGCCGGAAGCGAAGGAGATCTCTTCGGAAACAGCGTCACCAGGAATGTTCCAGTGAAGCCAATCGACGGCTGGTCAAGAGGAATCCGTCGTCGTCTTCTGGTGGAACCGACCTTCGAATCTATTCACGCAACACTTTCACTGGAAATGGAGGTAAACACAACAACATGTTTATGGATCCGGGTTAGAATCCATGTAAAGTGTGATTTGGGATGTCTTGCCTTTTTTGGATAGAAAAATCTACACACCATGGCTCTGTTTTGTTGGCTTACTTTGCTCATGAAAAAGTCCCTAGTCGATCTAGATCGCTTGAGACGATTTAAAGACGGACAAAATAAACTAACCTTTTTGCATTCGACGAGGTTACCTATTTTCGAAATTAGTATTTTTCGGGAGAATCAGTAATTATTTGATAAGAACTTAGTCAGTCTAGGTTGAACGAAAGATTTTAAGGACTGCTCGATGAGCTTTTCTCACACCAAATCATCTCATTACATTTCACTTAGCCTTGACTCGCAAAGCATACTTCGTACACCTTCGACCTTATCTAGTACGTATCAGTAAGCAGAACTTGATCCGCTGCTGGGTCGTGAGTATTGCAAGTGACTCATGGGAAAGATAGGATATTCAAGACAAGTCGCATTTTACGAGTGTTTTGTGAATAAGGTAAATATAAGTCTGCCATTGAAATCGTTTATACTACTTAATTTCTACACGAGTAGGCTCGGAAGTTGATTATTTCGAGATTTTAATCTTCAAACGGCTTGCCTAGACTTGACATGTGTGCAATTCGCTGCTTGTCAGCAATAGAGTTCTGGCCACAATTTTGCGCTTTTTTGTAGTGAAAATCACATGTACATACCTCTCGCGATTGGACCGTTCAGATCACGCATCTTCTGCTCGAAAAGAGCTCTTAAATGACCGACATTTTTTCGCTCAACAAGTCGCCTGTGCTCGTCTGCATCTCCACTCCACGCGGAAGCATTCGTCTCCATGGCGATCTGGTTGTGCTCGACGGTCTCCGAGGCGGTCTGGTGACGATGCTCTCCACACCCGGCCGGAACAAGAGGCGTTGAGGAGGGAGTGGCCGGAGTGGGAGGTGGAGGGGGCGGCGGTGGCGGCGGCGGCGGCGGCGGAGGAGGAGGAGGTGGTGGAGCAGTAGGGGGGGATATGTCGAGGCCAGTTGTGGGGGATGGACACCTGGCAACGGGGGGTCGTTGGGGCGTCTGTGAACCGGGACCTGACGTTAGTACCGGCGAGTTGGGCGCGTTGGCGGCGACGATTCGGTGGAGTTGGCCGATCCGAGTGGCCGTCATCTTCCTCGGTCTCGGCGATGATCTCCTCGACGCCGATCGGGCCGGCACGACCGTGACCCGCGACGCGATCGCAGAATTGGCGGCGGCTCGAGCCGCTGCAGCCGCCTCCGGAGTCTGGCGCTCCGCTTGTCCCGGCTGCCGAACGGGTCGAGCACCGCCGACGCCGATGTTCCAACCGGCGTCGGGCCGACGACTCTGGCCGGACTCGCGAGCCTCCAGTCGAGCCGACGCTTGACTGCACACGCCGGCCGAGGTACAGCAGAGCCGCGGAATCGGCGCAAACGGCGACGAGTCGTCGAGGTTGGCCGGCGTCACGGTCGTGAGGCGGCTCGAGGCGCCCGACGTCTCCACGTCGGAGGCGTAGTTGCAGCGCTCCGTGACGAACGCGGTCACGTGTGACG